ATATTTATGTTTTGAAAAGAAAGTTTAGAAAATACGTTATGTTTATTGTGTGCAGTAAGTTATTTAGTAGTTAATTGTATTTTTGAGACTTTTAATCGGTCTAATTTTTAGAACTGTGTACAATAAGTCGTTGTTTATTGAAAATTGAACTTCGTAAGTTTATGTATTTTAGTGACAGGAGTAATACCAGAAATAAGTATACGTAAAAAGTTTGGAGATTACTTGAATGGGTAATGAAGGACCTTTATTATAAATGTACAACGTTTCGACAAGATTATGTCATCATCAGGTACAAGTAGTTTTCTTAGATACAGGAATGTATTAATATATACAGTATGGAACAAAGAGGTCACATGACCGGAGATAGTTTTAACAGCTTAGTAAAGGTATATTTGCACCATGGGGTGTTGGTTTAGGGCAGGGATGTTTTGTTCAATTAAAATAGCTTCCTTTATTTTGCACAGACGTATGTTCGTGATTGGTTACTTTCTTAAAAACAAAACATTCTCATGCAAAGAAATATTAAGCATAATTTATTTTGGACATTCACAACAATAATGACTTACAATATCTTTCCATGTGTATAACATTTTTATCATAATCACCGCAACATCATGTAAAAACAACGAATACCAAAATGTTCACCTTAAAATTGTGACACGTGACTTGACACAGCCGTGGTTCTGAAATCATGGCGTAAGAGTTTGTAAAAGACAACAGAAATTCTTCCCAGCTCCGCTTGACCAAAAAAAACAAAACAAAAACAATTATCTTTCTTTTTTACAGTTACATTACTCAAGGCACCAAGTTAATCATCATAAAAGAAGTTCCAACAACGACTTGGACACAACACAAGGCCTTTTTCACACTGCGTTAATCACCATAAAAGAAGCTCCGACAACGACTTGGACACAACACAAGGCCTTTTTCACACTGCTGTGGAAAGTATGTGGCCCTCCTTCATGGACTGTTGTGAAATCTGAAAGATGATTAAAAAAGTAGAAAGGAAGCAATTTTTTTAAAGATCACTAGTTTCAAGAAACGTTAATCATGATCCTTTAGTTCTGCAATTTGTTTTAAAGATCACTAGTTTCAAGAAACGTTAATCATGATCCTTTAGTTCTGCAATTTTTTTTTTGATATCCCTGCTAGCTCTCTTGTAAGATTTCCTAAAATTCAGACTACCTGTTTTTTTTAAATTTAACCAATAAGGTTTCAGTTCTATTCAGGTTGAAGTTATTCTACATTACACGATGTCTTCTAAAAGTATCATACTAACTATTTGTATCATAAACATAGATCGTAAAGTATCATACAAACTATTTGTATCGTAAACATAGATCGTAAAGTATCATACTAACTATTTGTATCGTAAACATAGATCGTAAAGTATCATACAAACTATTTGTATCGTAAACATAGATCGTAAAGTATCATACTAACTATTTGTATCGTAAACATAGATCGTAAAGTATCATACTAACTTACGACCTATGTTTACGATACAAATAGTTTGTATGATACTTTACGATCTATGTTTATGATACAAATAAAGTATCATACTAACTATTTGTATCATAAATATAGATCGTAAAGTATCATACAAACTATTTGTATCATAAACATAGATCGTCGTCAACAAATTAAATCATTTTAAAGAAGATACACAATTAAAAATATCTAATTACAAATTGGACTCAGTTATGAAGTCCATTCGATATCATATTTAAATAAAATTATATATGCATGTCAAATATCTACTCATCTGCATGATTACCTGACTTTATAAAAAACATCATTCATGATGTTCTAGAGATGCTTTCAAAGGCTTAAGTTGTTACAGATTATTAGTTTAATGCGACTGTCATTGTAAGGCTTAAGGGAGATTCCATATATTATATACATATTTAAAGGGTTAGTTAGTATGAGTTAATCCGTAGGAGCATAACATAAAGCTGTGTAAGCTCAAGGTTCTCTTGTTGGTGTCTGATCACATTAATCTAAATTAACGGACAGAAAGTGTTCCTTGAGAAGTGAAGCTGCAGTCGTCACGTTGTCGGAAATGCGTTCAATCTGTCAATAGCGACAGTCGTTTCACATATCCTTTCAACCGCTCCCTAACCTTAAAAGCTTCTCTCTTGTGACAATCCTAGATTTTACCAGTTCAGATCGTTTGCGAGTAAAATCCTGGAGACGGAAACATTTAGAAACATCGAAGTGTCTCACTTAAATTCTGACCTATGTGACTGTTATGTATAACATGGCGGAAACTAGCAAGTCACGAAACAATAATATCTTAAAACAGGGTCGTCATCATCGAAGTGACTTACTGTCTATTCCTCATACTAGTTATAAAAAAAAGACTATCTTAAGAGTTCGTGGTGTCTTCCTGTCTGACAAAACTTATGATTCGAGTTCTGCTTAGTCTGGCTTCAGATTTTTCTTCGAATTTCCTGTGAAATACAGAAGTTATTGACCATGCCGAAAATTTTCGTTCCTCAATGATGGTTAAAGTTTTTTGTGTAGATGAAAATTCCAAAAACCATTTGAGAAAGTGCTATTATCTTCCCAATAAGAAATGATTTATGGAGTACGCGATCCATTGACTTTTCCAGATATCTGTTACAACAACAAAACATTACACCAAAAAGAGAAAAAAAAAACATAAAGAAAATTGACTACTAACGTTACAAGAAATCAACGTATGCACATTGCAAAAGAAAAATAGCCCATTAACAATCAAGAAGAATGCTTATAAAGTTTTGAAGTCGGTAAAAACATTCTTGGTGAATCAAGGCTAAATGTCTTCTCAATTCATTGAAACATGCATTTTACTAATTTAGCAGATGAAACGAACAGTAGAAAAATCAATTTGTTATTCATTCAGATAGCTTATGAAAGCTCATAGTAATAAGAAACTACATGAGCATGACTAATTTGAACTCTTCAGTGTTACACTAGGAGGGCAGAGCCAGATAATGTATAAAATCTTTACTGAACATGATCGGCTTAAAAGTACTTGAAGTAGAAAAGTTAAAACTGAGAAAGTATATTCTCATCATGAAAGTTTGAATAAAAGTATTATTATTGAAAGTAACGACAACTGTAACTTATCAATGCACCGCTAAGCTTTTAAAAAATAAATGGAAATGTAATATTAAACTTAAGGCAATACGAAACTGCTTATATAATTTCCTTTAGTGTATTATTGTATAAATCAGCCATCAGATGAGTAGATAGGTGATCTGAAATATGAATTATTGATATAATATCACTCATTTCCTTTAGTGTATTATTGTATAAATCAGCCATCAGATGAGTAGATAGGTGATCTGAAATATGAATTATTGATATAATATCACTCATTTCCTTTAATGTATTATTGTATAAATCAGCCATCAGATGAGTAGATAGGTGATCTGAAATATGAATAATTGATATAATTTCACTCATTTCCTTTAGTGTATTATTATATAAATCATCATATTTCCTATATGAAATCCGATTGAATCTGGTTATAGATTCTCTCCAATAAATATCTGCCTATTCACTGTTTAGAATGAAGCACAACTCAGAAACGAACATTTCACGGTAAGTGGTTGGGCCACTGTTCTGCTTCTGATGTGTTTCTTTGTTCGTTGCTGTAAGTGAAATGCAGTTCCTTGGGCGCCTGGTCAACTTATTGAACCGTCTGTAACACTAACACGAGCTTCTGTTGCAACTGTGGACATCTAATTCATTCTTAGAGCGGGTACCCTAAGATAGCAGCAAATCAGAATCGACACATACCGGATGTCTGTTTGTATTGTGGGTGATTGTCTGTTTGCGTAAGTGTTCAGACAATTGTACCATTAATTTCGTAGTTGGGTTACATTCTTCTAATAGCACTTTGACACACTTATAGCCAAACCACAACAACAGTCTACAATTGTCTTCTTCCCTTTCCTCCTGAGGAAATGACCTCAATGAGATCAACTTTAAACTCAGAGATTCACCTCGAAGTAATAACTGGGACTGCTATATTTAAATTAATAATAATTCATATTTCAGGTCACTTATCTACTCATCTGATGGCTTCTATGAAACCAGATTGAATCTGGTTATAGATTCTCTCCAATAAATATCTGCCAAAGTTTATTCCTGACAACCCCATACTTCCATCATGGCCATATGTCTTCTATGAAATCCGATTGAATCTAGTTATAGATTCTCTCCAATAAATATCTGCCAAAGTTTATTCCTGACAACCCTATACTTCCACCATGACCATATTTCATCTATGAAATCAGGTGGAATCTGGTTATAGATTCTCTCCAATAAATATCTACAAAAGTTTATTCCTGACAACCCCATACTTCCACCATGGGAAATATGGTCATGGTGGAAGTATGGGGTTGTCAGGAATAAACTTTGGTAGATATTTATTGTAGAGAATCTATAAGCAGATTCAATCGGATTTCATAGATGAAATATGGCCATGGTGGAAGTATATGGTTGTCAGGAATAAACTTTGGCAGATATTTATTGGAGAGAATATATAACCAGATTCAATCTGATTTCATAGATGAAATATGGCCATGGTGGAAGTATGGGCTTGTCAGGTATAAACTTTGGTACAATTATTTGTTTGTTTGCTGTTTAGCTAAAAGCTACACAAGGGTTGTCTGTACTCTGCCAACAACGGACATCGAAAGCAAATTTTGGCATTGTAAACCACCATACTTACCGCTGAGCCACATGGGGGAGCATGCCACACTTTATAGAAACCACATCATACAACCCTTAGTGCTATTATAAGCTGGTGCTGCGGATCCTGTTTTCAGCCTAGTGGAAGATAAAGATATTTTTTATCATGATAAAATCTGATCGACTCATTTTTGACAAAAACATGATTGAGGGCTGACCAGATAACCTTCACGTCTACTGCACTTCAGTATTTTCGGGGATGCAGGGGATGCTTTTGAGACTTGCATCACATGTGGTCAAATTGATCCCAGACACTGAATATTCTCTGGGAACAGCACTGTATGGGGGTTAATCATGTTTTTTTTGTCCACACGAAATGTCACGAATTGTAAGGCCAATGGTCATTTACAAATTGGACTGAGTGACTAATGATTTATGTTTTAGACTACATGTTGGATCATTCGATTATAAATTCCCTTAAAAAATAAGTGAAGGCGATTAATATTAATTATTAAACTGGTTGTGCCTTAACATTGCTAAAATATACTAAATTTCAATTATCCTTTAATTGTTTTGCACAGAACGAAATATAAACTGGTAGAACTGGTTTGTAAATTGTTTTTAATGATAAATCATTATTTGCTATTGTCACATCTGGCTTATATGTATTTATATGAAATCCTATTGACTTAAAGTACTATTGTTTCTTGGCCATCTGATACTCTACAAACTGATGGCGAATAAACTCAATCAGTTCGAATAAAATTATATTTCCTATTTTGTTTTTGAGTTGAAGTTCAACTTCTTAGAATATTTAACTATTTTCCAATGTAGGTACTGGAAGAAAGAACCATAACGTTTAAGAGCATAACCGTATTTATCTATTGACTGTTGTTTTTTTTATACTGTAAAATGTTTATTGGATTAATAAAATAGCAACAATAATAAAAACATTTTAAAAACACATAACAACAGTAATGAAAACCTTTTAAAAACACATAACAACAATAATAAAAACATTTTAAAAACACATAACAACAATAATAAAAACATTTTAAAAACACATAACAACAATAATAAAAACCTTTTAAAAACACATTTAACTACACCATATAGAAGAGTTGTATAATATTTATCTATTGTTAAGTATAGTTTCATTGTATGGATGCCCATTGTAAAGTATAGTTTTAATGTATAGATGTCCTATCATCAACCATTCTCGCCCTTTCATCCGTGGGGACATTATAAGTGACTTTCAATCCACTATTTGTTGGTAAGGGTGTAGGCCAAGAGTTGGCGGTGTTGACTAGCTGTCTTCCCTCTAGTCTAGCACTGTTAACTTATGGGCGGCTATTGCAGATAGCTCTCGATTAGCTTTGCGCGAAATTAAAACAAACCGTTGCATGGATGCAACAATTTGGCGCATAATCATGATGTATAAATTTTAAAATATGTTCATTTAACTGAAATATTAATGGTTGTTATAGCAGTTTTAAAATTTTAGATTTGTTAGTACGTCAAGAATGAACTGGTAGAGTTTTGCGGTTCATTTTTCAACGTGTTCCACTAAAACAGTTAAAACTTATGTTACATTTGAAACATTATGTTACGAATACTATTAAAACTAAATTCGCTCATCTAAATACTTTTCAAACTTTTCTTTAAAAAAAATGTTTATAATAACCTTGTTTATCCAGCTGTTATTACCAGAGGGCGCCAAATATATGGCAAATATATGGTGGTTAATATTTTCTTGTACACTTTGTGTGACTCACAGTTTGCTCTATTTCTAAATTTATTGATATTCTTTCAATATATATTCACTTTATTGTATATTGTAAAACTATAATAGACGCTATATATATATATTCGACGCCTTAAGTCGTCCACTACTGTTTTATTTAGAATTTTCATATAATTGCTTCACATTATCTGTGCATTGAAATTAGACAATTGAATACCAAGAAAATTGGCAGTAGATAATATTTGACAAACACTCGAGTATTTCTTCACTATATGTGATAATAGTAAAAAACAAAAACACTAAAGTTTCTCTATTAAATGGCCAGGTATTTAGGGCGCTTGAGAGTCGCGGTTTCGAATCCCCATCCCACCAAACATGCTAGCTCGTTCAGGCGTGGGGACGCTATAATGTGACGGTCAATCCCACTATTTCGTTGGTAGCCCAAGAGTTGGCGGTGGGTGGAGATGACTAGCTGCCTTCCCTCTAGTCTTTCAATGCTAAATTATGGACAGCTAGCGTATATAACCCTCGTGTAGCTTTGCGGGAAAATTAAAACCAATTCTCTATTAAAATCTTACGTTCAGGAGACTGAAATAATATAAACAAGCAAACCGTAGAACCAGACAAACATTTTACGAGATTAATTTTGATTAAATAGTGTAGGGTGTTTATTTGTTTGTAAACTTTAAAGAATTCACAGACGATAATTTGTATCGGTGTTTTTTTTTTAGCTTATCGATCGAATAATGAATGATGCCAAAACTTATGTCCCAAATGTTTGATAATTCTGTAAATATTCTGGTTAGAGTTCAACCAAGATAATTATCTTGCATGTCAAAACCTTGAAATGAGACTAGAAAATAAAGTTCTGTTATAAAGTAATCTGATCTATAAATTCATTGTGATTTTTCAACTACGAAATACAATAAAATTAATCGAAATGCAACTAACTTCTGCTTCCAGAAGACCACTCATCAAAGGAGTTTCTGCTGTAATTCCGCTGTCATCTTCTTCAATCCTTTGCAGCGATGACATCTCTACTGGACTTGGCACCCATTTTTCTCTTTCAGGGATGCACTCAGGGTTTTCAATAACAGCGAACGTTGATGGCCTTCCTTCACCAGCTACCCTATCTCTGCTTCCGCTCTCACCTTCACTCCACTGAAACGAAGAACAAACAGTTACAGAAACAATCAAAGTTTATGGGGCTGTGTGTTATTACTATTTATTTTCGTACAGAGAATACAAGAACAAACTGTTCTTCAGATGTTACAACTAATAGTGTTCTCAGTCGATAATACATATAGTAAAAGGTAGTAGCTGCCATTTGAGCTCTTATCTGATTGCAAGAAAAATCATTTCCGTGTATAAATACTATATAATATAACGAGAAAGTTGAAAAAAACATATTCAAATATCACTAATTCAGTTAATTAACAAACCCAACAATTACTAATTTGATCAGAGATGTGGTATAAAATATCATTTTAGCAATACCTTGTTTCCAGTTTTTAGACTACTGTGGTATATATATATACATATATATATTTATTTATTTTTGAGTATTTATGTCACATACTCGAATAGCCTGTGATGGACTGAACAATGGTTTTCTATCCATTCGAAGTATAACTTCCTCAGAAAAATCCCTTGGGTGGAATTCCACTGTTAAAGCATGACCCCAATTTGCACTTATATGAGTCACATCTGGAGGTCCTGTATACGAGTCAGAAACAAGAAAAATGAGTTCAACGATACTACTAACAGAACAACTGTCAGGATTTCCAATATTTCTTGAGCTGCAACACAGAAGTTTTGAATATTTTTTCAATATATTAGATTAAGTTCACAAACAACAAGTAGCAGTTTTTTCTAAAGGCAGGAAGGATGAAATGGCATCCCTACGTCTTTAGATTAACCCTAGAATATTATGTGCTCATTGATAGGAACAGACTATGAGGTAGTACGGTATAAAAAAAATAACACTCTTGTATTTAGTTTCAATTAATTTTTTATAACTTAAATATCAAAATGTCATTGAGCATATGAATAGATAATGATCACCAACCCCTTTATGATTTCCCGATATAGCTCGGGCGCCATCTATGTTTCAAAAATATTTGCCCGAGTTAATTCGTGCAAACTATTTCTCAACGCATTTTTAATTATTTGCTCGAAAATATCATGTATTACAATAGGCTATCAAAAACTGAAACAAAAAACATGATGTTTTTAGCTTATTTACCCCCATAAAAGCCTGACACGGAACGAGTTAAACAAAAGAGAACCGAAATTTCCAAGTACGTATAATGTTAAACAGTAAGAAATATAATTAAACCTTAGCACAGTCATTAGTAATATGCAGAATTTAGGTAGTTCCGCGATAACAATAATAATTTATCTGTTTTTAAAAGAAAATAAATAGATAAATTAAATTGTTTATTTGTTGTTAAACACAAAGCTCTACAAACGGCTATCTGTGTTGTGCCTACCAAAGGCATCATTTAAGCCCGATTTTTAGTGTTATAAGAAGTCTGACTTACCGCTGAGCCACATGGAGGAGCATATAGATTAACAACTTGTATAATCATAAATCATGCATTTAAATGCACATTGTCTTACCTGAAAAATCATGTTTTGTTGAAATAAGATCAAGAAGTTGGGCATCGAGTTTGGGGGATTCTTCGTCTTCAAGCGAATGTACAGGTCTGAAATAAAACAAGATTATCAACTTTTACTTCTAATTAACATGACAGGACCTAAAACATTTTATCCAATAGGGAATTTGTAAGTGTCTTTATCGTATTATACTGAAATTATATAGCTGGAACTTGCCAGATACGAAATAAGTGTTTCTGTAACTTACAGTAATTCATTTACAATATTAAACGTAACCAATTTAATGCGTATTTTATCTAAAAATAGTATTCGCTAAATTAATATATAACACCAAATTCCATAGATATTAAAAACTATATTGATCAAATGTGATAGGTAGGATACATGAAACTTTACATGTGACAGTTCTGCTTTGGATATTGGTAATGTCGCTAAGCAGGCCCAACATCGTCCGGTGCTCGTGGGTTTAGGGCCGAAAACACCGCTAGCAACGATAATATGCAGTTATCAGAGGCATTTTGTAGTTTGTCTGTTATTCATAATTAGAACTATTTAACACTAATTATAGTTATTACTGTAGATTTTTTAGTAGATCTGCATAATTGAACTTGTAGTCTCTTCCTATTATAACTGTGGTCTGTTAACCCCCCCCCCCTCCGGGTACATAGAGTTCAACTTGTTGTAATAACACCTCTTCCATACAGTGAATAGGTATACTACATATTACTGTTGAGTAATATAATATAGTATGATTATCATTTTTAAATATTTTATACATCTGTTTGTTTGTTATGTATTCCGTGTAAAGCTACACGAGGGCTATCTGCGCTAGCCATCCCTAATTTAGCAGTGTAAGAATAAAGGGAAAGCAGCTAGTCATCACCACTCACCGCCAACTCTTGGGCTACTCTTTTACCAACGAATAGTGGGATTGCGAGTCGAGTGATCTAACCACCTGGCCATGCCGGGCCTATTATACGTCTCTTATCCATAGTTTTCAGATTGGTGAAGTCAGGATTTGACACTGGTAACCTTATTACATGTTTAAATATATATATATATTCGACAAAAAATTTGTAATACCGGATCGGGTGTATTCTGGTTAAAAAAGTTCATTATGGTACTGGGATGGCTGCAAACAATTTGCTGACCGTTTCTGGTACTGAGAATGGTAACGCCAACCCGGGGTCTGATAGAACTAACGCTACAGGTTCTGGCAGATGTATACATCTTCAACTGAAGTAATAACATATCCACGACAATCTAACCCAGAAATGTAACCATAGCATTGATTGTAGCTACAATATTCTAATCCAATAATGTAACTATAAAAAAAATGTCTTACATGTTGTAAAGTTGTTTAGCGCCACGACACTCATCTAACAATGTAGTCGTAGAAGGTAATTCACATGTTCTAACATAATTTGTAGCCACGATACTTCAGTTCAATACAGTACTCATAGAAGCTGCCTCACAAGAAAAGATTTAACTTGTTTAGTTAAAAATAATTCAAGGCTCTGTACGTAAGAAAAACGTCTAATTGCTTACGTGGAAGAATTAAGAGATAAAATAGTTTGGTTTTGTCTTTCTTCTGGTTTAGTCCTGTTAACTAGTGGATCATTACATTTAATGTATCCTATTGGTAGAACTAGAAAGTCTTCAACGTATGAACAGAATAATTAAAATATTGATATATGAAATTATTATATGTCTTTTTGGTAATCTGGATGAACAAGAAATGATCCACTAGTTAACAGGGCTGAACCAGAAGAAAGACAAAACCTCTGGATGAACAAGTAATGATTCACTAGTTAACAGGACTGAACCAGAAGAAAGACAAAACCTCTGGATGAACAAGTAATGATCCACTATTTAACAGGGCTGAACCAGAAGAAAGACAAAACCTCTGGATGAACAAGTAATGATCCACTAGTTAACAGGGCTGAACTAGAAGAAAGACAAAACCACTGGATGAACAAGTAATGATCCACTAGTTAACAAGACTGAACCAGAAGAAAGACAAAACCACTGGATGAACAAGTAATGATCCACTAGTTAACAAGACTGAACCAGAAGAAAGACAAAACCTCTGGAGGAACAAGTAATGATCCACTAGTTTACAAGACTGAACCAGAAGAAAGACAAAACCTCTGGATGAAGAAGTAATGATTCGCCAGTTAACAGGACTAAACCAGAAGAAAGAAAAAACTACAAATGAACAAGATTGTGGCTGTTTGTCAATTTGAACTAAACCATACAATTAAACTGAAAGTAACGTTTTACAGAGTAGCAAATTTCCAACTAATCGTTATTTTAGACAACCCATTCAACCTATTCCCCGTAGTCAAAGCGAAAAGAAACAAAAACATAGAACTAATAGCACCATTAAGCTTAAGAGGGGAATTACTTCTAAAATGCCTAACAAAAGGTCACTTCATTTTATGTAGCATTACGAAGCCTTGCAGTAAAAAAAAAAAAAAAAACTTAAATTTATTCAAATCAATTTGAGATCCAAGTCTACGGATGTTGATTATCAATTTAAGTTAGCTATAACGTGTCACTTGTTAGCAGTCTTTAAAAATAAACAGGAAATATCTAACAAAAGTATTCCTCGTTGTTCCGTTTATTGAAATAAGCATAGAGCTTACTAATGTAAAATCTATTACTTGAAAAAGTCCTTACAGAAATTATTACTTACAACCTGTAATAATGAATTTCCAACAGAGTAAGACCTTACAAAAAGTCAAAGGAAACATAATTTGTAATTACAACAGGGTTATAGATAACATTAATAATGCCAAACTGAACAACACTATTTCTTCAGATTGTCATTGTATTATTTTTGGTTACATTCGCACGCCTACTCAAAAAGTCATCATAGGAAACCTTAACATTGTACAAAATGAAAATGTAAGGCTTTTAATGATTAAATGACCTAAATTTCGCAAAAACATTTTGAGGCAATTACTTAACCGTCGAATATGAAACTGGAGC